TATTTCAAGGACGGCACATGCTGAGGACGTCGACGAAAGAGTTGACAGCGACGCTAGGCGGTTGTGAAGATAAATGTTTTTTTACTCGGCACATCGACACCTAAAAGGTGCCATAGTTAGCGGCGAAGGCGGACAGCAAGCCGTTCGACAGCAGATGCGCTTTTTACAGGCGCCTGGGAGGGCAGCAGATCCTAGGATGGTCACGTAGGTGGACTTCTAGCCACCCATTATCAATGCATAACGCGTACCTCCCTAATGACTCGGTAACCACAAAAACTGGTACCCTTTACTGAAAATGCCAGAGATCTGCCCAGATTATATTGCATAACAAATAGAGGTCCTACCCCTGCTTTCATAAGTTATTTCAACACAAATAAACGGCAGAGGCAAGGCTAGGTATTTGAGGAAAAATCTGCCAACATGACAACAGAAAAAAACTTGGTGTTTCGCTTCTGGCAATGCCAGTAACATTTACTTTTAAAGCGGTTTGTGTTATCTAGTCGCTGCTACTTGATGGGCGTGATGCGGGCTGCACGACGCTGGGACCTTGAAATCAGGCAGCGTTTTCTGTCATCCATCTGCAACTAGAGACAGCACATCAATTACGGAATGCATAGATTTAACTCACATAACATCAGAGCTACGTATACACTTGCCAGAAGATCTGCAGGTCATTGCACTCTACCTACATGCTTACTTTCCATGCCGAATGTGTGCTGGTTGAACACGGAAGTGCGTACAACAACGGTAGGGAGGGGGGGGGGGGGGGCACAGGAATCACAGTAGCATGCAAAAACCTTTGGGCTCGAAATGGAGTAGGAAACACATGGCTGATGGGAACTTACACCTGATTAAATTCAGTACCTCCAAAATCCACCGATGGACCATAAAATAACGGGCTCATAAACATCATGGAAAACCAGTGGCTTGGTCCTACGTGCAGGCTCAAGAAATTTGCGATTCATAATATCGCCGAGGAGCCCACAGCGAACATTAGTCAAAAGGGATGAAAAACGAGGTACGGCCGGGTTTCGTAAGGGGGAGGGGGGCTAAGCGAGAGTGCAAGTTTTAAGTATTGCCGTGCGGTTGACCGCTAGAGCTCTGAGGGGGGCTGCCCTCTTGACTTATAAGCTATGGTAATATTTTTGACATTGCCAAGATGAAAATAGGCTACCAATCTAACGATTGGGGAACAACCACGGCGGTAGTATGCTCTCACCGTACTAAGTGTCATTGCATTAATGAAAATTTGACAAAGTGGAGGTGGACATTGACCTAGCTGCCTTGATCTCGGGGTAATCTTCGTCCCCCCTCCCCTCTCCGCTTGGCATGTTGCTATTTTATATCATAAGGCGAGCAGCACAGTTATACATTCGAGGCACTTCAGCGCAGTGAGGGCAACTCTGAATGAACGCAGCTATTAGTCGCGGTATCGTCACAACTTAGTCAGCTCATGGGTGAGAGAGGCCATTTGGTGCGCCAGGGGATTAGAGCAGGGCAGCAGGTAACTTTGTCATGGACCCTCTTGAACTATTGCTGTTGCCAAGGAGTTTAGGGGTGGGGGGGTTGGATGGAGGGGGTCTATCAATAAATAAACGAGTAACTTCCAAGAAAGAGGGGCAAGCACACAAGGACCGTGAATGCATCATGGCAATCGCAACCAGGGATGAAAATGCAAATGCTGTTTAAGTTGCATGTAAACAGAAGACTTTAAGTCCAGCCTAAGCATCTAAAATGTAGAAGTTCAGGCAGTTCAAAGGGCCTGCTTAGATGCCTATCCCCTGAAGCATTGCGTTGTTTCCCTTTCCCTTGCCGCTAGAAATAATACGAATACTTCAGGTACTCATTTAAAAGTAAAGATCACCGGTCATACCCCCCCCCCCCCGCCCCCAGTTCATCGCCTAAGCACGGGCGATGATATGAGGGGGGGGGGAGAGGCAGAGAGAGCTGCCGCACAAATAAGAGCAGCCTTTAACATGAGCTGCTCCCCCCCCCCCGCCTCCATCAAGCGTCTAGACAGAGGTTCCACTACTAACCACCCCCTTGCGCCTAAGCGTGCTTCAGGCAGCAAGATGTTGGCAAGTGGGGAAAGCTGTGATACATCCAGCAATAGCGTAGGTATCTATCAATCGAGGCTCACCTGTAAGCTATAGCATGTTGCTGAACTTTGGAAATGTTTCCAGCGAATTTCTTTGACGCCTATACTTCTGCGTCTTACACGCATGGAATAGAATAAAGCATTACATAGACATCCCAAAGCACGATGAACGCTGCAGGTCCTAATAAGTAGTCAACTGTAGTCTGATATTAGTTGCGACATCGACCAGGCGGGAGCAAAGCGACACAAGTTATGCAATTAAGATGCACGCACCCTTAAGCTGGGCTTCTGAGCCGCTGCAATCTAATTAAGGCGCATTCTGACAAAAGTGCGTCGGTCCTGCTTAAAAAAAAAACGCGACGAAAAGGTGGAATTTTTATCGGCGCATTTCCTACGATAACTGCACATTTACTATTGCGCTTCTCACCGTACATGTTGTTTGTAAGACGACGGAGGAAAATCGTTCCCGACAGGAATATATTTTCCCTACATGCGACCAGACAGCGGGGGATTTTAGTGGAGGAACATTGTTTTACTCCCGAGCTTTATAAAACTCGGAGGAGGAAAATCTGAAGGAAAAATCCATCCGTTGGCGTTCATTTTCTTATAAAACTGGCCTCAGGACATAACCTCTCCAGCTTCGGCAGCTCACCATCCTCCCTCACGTAGGGGTTTGGAGCTGCCCGCAGACGATTCCGCCGCCCTTGTGCTAGAGCGAAGATGCCTACAATAAACACCGAGATGTCGACATATACGTGAGCAATTTGTGTTACAATCATGCTGCCCTTTTCGATACGATTAAACACAGGCTGTCTGATCAGGCGGTTACCAGGAACACAGTCACTCACTACGAGACCTCCGAGGCACCCTAGACAAGGTACAACAATGGTCGAGACGTTCTGACCTCCAGTTTTCCGTTTACAAATCGGCCGTTGTGATTTTCCGTAAAAGGTGACAACATGCACCAGCATATTCCCATCGCCTCGACAGCCCGCATATCCCTCTGCTTCGTCGCTCAAATTGCTAAACGCCAAGCTTGTTCACACGAAGTACATGGCACGCTTGCAGTTGTTCAGATGCGTGTCAGAGTCAAGATATGGCGCTGACCGACACCCTATGATCATTTTACAAATCCTTGGCCCTACCCATTAGCGGATACGGCTCTGCGGCACCTGCAAATGATACTGGCAGCAGTCCAGAGTCCCTGAGTGTTTTTCAAAATATGTTCTTGCGGCTCACGCAGGGAGCACTGTGCTCATCTCCACTTTCCGCGCCTCAGGTGGACGCGTACATTATGCCTCGAGCCCTCCGACGTGCTGAATACGCATTGAGGTACATAAAAAATTCGAAAAATCCCAAGCGCCTTATGTTTGCCTCAACACGCATATTGCCAAGAGTTCACCTCCCTCACGTAGGAGCGGCAGAACGCCGCTCGGGCCCGACAATCGCGCCTCATGTCAACATCTGCCGAAGCACAATATCAGGAACATAAGCCTAACATAAGAAGTATAATATACAAAGTGCAAAGTGCAAGTAAAAAGTATGCTATAAGAAGTTCTGTTCTACCGCGGGTCTCCGTGCCAACTGCTTTAATAATGCCTCTGGCAACTGACACCACGAAAAGTTTGGCTTCTTTTTGCTGATCTTAAGCCATGTCGTAACAGACGATATATAGGAAAAGTTCAGCCGCGTGGAAAAATTAAGCAATATTCACATTGTCTATTTATGCCGATGGCTTCAGAACCGACCAACGC